GGACGTACTGCAGCTCTCCTCGTCGGAGTTGTCCCCACAGTCGTTGTCGTAGTCGCACTGCCAGCGGCCAGGCACGCAGCGGTTGTTCTTGCAGCGGAACTGGTAGGGCTCACAGGTGCGCTCGTCTGGGGGGACAGGGTTGGGGGCCGTCAGGGACAGCGTGGGGGCAGACGGCAGGGTCCACAAGGGTCCCACACAGGGTGGGAGAGTGGGCGCTGCAGCCCAAGACAGGTCAGCACGGGGAGGCCGTTACGGGGCCAGGCCGGAGGGACCCGCGGGGGGAGCTGCCTCAGGAGGGACGAACAGGCCTCACAGGCTCCGCACAGGCGTGAGCTGAGGCGGTGCTGGGGGCTCCAGGACAGGGAATCCGACAGGAGGCACAGGGAGCCGGGCGAGGCCACGTGGTGACCCCTCCCCACCTGGGCAGCATCCGGCCCTCGATCTGGGGCTGGGGCAGCTCACCACACTCCTCCTTGGGCTCGTCAGAGCCGTCCCCACAGTCGTCCTCTCCGTCACACTTCCAGCGCGCGGGGATGCAGCGGCCCGAGTCCTTGCAGCGGAACTCATCCACCCCGCAGGTCATCTGGGCTGCAAGAGGGAGGGCGGGCGGTGAGGGAGGCGCCTCTCAGGAGTGTGCTGTGAGGGTGGGCTGGGTAGGTGGGAGTGGGCACGGAGGGGGCCCCAGGGGGCTCCGGGGCCTGGGAGGGGGTGGGGGCTCCTGCGGGAGGTGGGCTCCGGGTGCCCCAGGCTGCTCACTGCAATTGGCAGGCTCGTCACTGCCGTCCACGCAGTCGTTGTCCCGGTCACAGACCCAGACGCGGGGGATGCAGCGCTTGGTGATGGAGCACTGGAACTGGTTGGGGGCACAGGTCACCTCGGCTGTGGGGGGGCGGACAGAATGAGGACTTGCCCTTGTGCCTCCCACCACAGTTCCAGTCTCCCCGGCCCCGCCCCTCCCCGCCTCCTGCGAGCACTTTCGTGGGAGGAAGGGACAGAGTATCTGCCTCTGGTGCTGTGTGCTCCTGGGTCTGCACATCTCTCTACCGAGCACCATGATTTTAGGAGCAAACCAAACACCCAAGACAAGGTACGCTGCCCTCTGTCAACGCTCCTGGGGGGCAGCAGGGCCCCCAGGAGCAGCGGGCGGCAGTTTTCAAGGTGAATGTCCCTGCCACAGCGGGGGGAGGGGGGGGGCACTCACGGCAGTCCCTCTCGTCCTCCCCGTCTCCGCAGTTGTCCTGCCCGTTGCAGCGGAAGATGCCGGGGATACAGCGGTTGGTGTTGGTGCACTTGAACTGACTGGGCAGGCAGACGTGGATGTCTGGGGGAGGGGAGGAGAGCAGGTCATTCGTGTGGATGAGGGCGTGGGAGTGCGGGCTCAGGGCCTGGAGCAGCACGAAACCCCCAGATCCCAGGGAGGGACGAGGGGGAGGGGCGGCCCTCACCGCAGTTGGCCTCGTCACTGTTGTCCTGGCAGTCGTTGTCCCCGTCACAGATGAAGGCGGGGTTTGTGCAGATGCCGGTCGAGCACTGAAACTGTCCTGGGCGGCACTTGAACTCGTCTGCGGGCGGGCGGGAGGCTCCGAATCA